CAATGCAGTGAAGCCTTCCTTGGTACGCACCCCTCCAGGCTTTGTGGGGTCCCCGGGCCACTGCACCCCTTTGGCTCTTGCTCCTAATGCTTATGCCGCAGGTCATGAGACTAGCTGCCGTTTCTCGAGCAGCTGCTATGTGCCGGGTACATTTAGCATCTAATTTTCTCCACTGTCCCTTTGGAAGTAGATACTCATTGTCATCCCGCGCCTTTTTATGGAAGAGGGAACAGAAGCTGGGCGAGGTCACTTTGCTAAGATCTCCCAGCCGGGGAGAGTGGCCGGGACCCAGCGTGTGCCCACCCACCGCAGGGAGGCTGAGCGCTGGGGTCCCGCTGGGTACCGGGAGGGAGGCAGACACGACCCCGGCTCTGCCGCAGAGGCTGCTGGGGGAATCCTGGTGCCGCGTCCAGCCTCTGGGCTGCTGTGGGCCCTCCAGCTGGACTGTCCCTGGTCTTCAAAACTGCATACTTTGCGCGCTACAACATGGATGAGCCTGGGAAACGTGCTGAGAGAAAGAAGGCAGACACAAAGGGCCACACGCCATTGGTACCGCGTGTGCGAATCGCCCGAACAGGCAAGTCTGCAGAGACAGCAAGGAGGTCGTGGCTGCCAGAGCCAGGGAGGGATGAGGCGTGACTGCTAGCAGGTCGGGCTTCCTTTTGGGGGGACGGCAATGTTCTGAAATGGATTCTAGTGATGGTTGCACGACTCTGCGCGTGTATTAGAAGCCTCGGTATTGTACACTTTAAATGGGAGAATTGCATAGTTATGTGGATTATATCTCAGTAAGACTGTTTTTAAAAATAATCGAGCAGGGGCGCCTGGGTGGCTCAGTTGGTTAAGCGACTGCCTTCGGCTCAGGTCATGATCCTGGAGTCCTGGGATCGAGTCCCGCATCGGGCTCCCTGCTCGGCAGGGAGCCTGCTTCTCCCTCTGACCCTCCCCCCTCTCATGTGCTCTCTGTCTCTCTCATTCTCTCTGTCTCAAATAAATAAATAAAATCTTTAAAAAAAAAAAAATAATCGAGCAGGGGTTCCCAGACTTGGGGGGTCTCATGAACCCATAAGATTAATAAGACAACACTGCGTGCCTACAACACCATGGCATGGTTTTCCCCTTTGGAGCAGGGACATGGCATCCGCCTCCTCCCCAGCCCTGAATTTGCCTGGAGTCCACTTTCTCCAGAAATCACTCAGTTCCCTGGACAAAGTGTAACAATACAAGATCCCACTAGGATATTCAGTGGTGGGCTGCAAATCCCCTTTTCTTTGAAAGAACCCTGGGAATTTGCCCCCTTTTGCCTGGCCCCACTAACCACCTACCGCTTTAATCATAGTGGCCCTGGTCCAGAGAAAGAAAAGGAACAATAGGCATTACCCCCACTCGATCTACGGGGACCCCATGGACTGCTCTGAGATGCTGCCGGCTGCCAGGGTCCCCAGGGCAGGGAACGATGTATGTCCCAGGCCCGGTTCTAAGAGTACCTTGAAAGGAGAGCTTAGAACTCTCGGCTGTGGCAGAGAGGACACGATGAATATGTCTGCCCGGGGCCTGCTCTGTGTTAGCCAGGAATTGTCATACATTTGGCTTTGAAGCGAGAGGAAAGGTGACTCTTTACCTCCATTTGATGGTCTGGCCGAGAACCTTTGCATCCACCTAAGATGAGCCTGGCGTGAGATGATCCATATTCACAAGGCCACATGTGTCGGCAGACAGCCTTGCCCATCATTAATACCGGCTGAGCCCCCCCAACCCCCAGGATCATGGGCAGCTGCAGATGAGCACCAGAGGAAAGGGGGTGAAATCCTTTCACTTCCAGGGATACCCACAGCGGTGGGAAGAGCTAGCATGTTTCTGGCACACAACAGTGTGCCAAGGAACGTTTATATCCAGGCCAGGCACTAGTCTAGACGTTCCAGGTTGTATTAGCTATCCTCTGCTGCGTAACAAACAATGACCAACTTAGCAGCTTGTAGCAACCTGTTTATCTTCACATGACTCAGCTGGGTCCTCCACTTAGGGCCTCAGAGGCTGCTAGTCAAGGTACCGGCCGGCTGCGCACTCATCTAGAGGCTCGACCGGGGAAGGACCCACCTCCAAGTTCACGCAGGCTGCTGGTGGAATTCATTTTCCCGTGGGACCGAGGGATGCTGTGAACATGCACGTACAAGTGTTTGTGTGGACACGGGTTTCCAGTTCTCTCGGATGTCTACCCAGGAGTGGAATTGCTGGGTCACAGGATAACACTACGTGTGACCTTCTGAGGAGCGGCCAGTCATTCTCCAAAGCAGCATTTTACAATCCTAGTGGCAGTGGATGAGTGTTCACACGGTGTTTTAACATGCTTTGGACTAGATGCCAATATTTAATAATCATGAGAGTGCAAGTTTTTTAAAAGTGGATTCCCAGGGTGCCTGGGTGGCTCCGTCAGTTAAGTGTCCACCTCTTGGTTTCGGCTCAGGTCATGATCTCAGGGTCATGAGATCGAGCCCCTCATTGGGCTCCAAGCTCAGCGGGGAGTCTGCTTGAGATGGTCTTTCCTGCTCCCTCTCCCCCTCCCCACCGCCTGCTTGCTTCCCCCTCCCAAATAAATAATAATCCTTAAAAAGTAAATAAATAAAAATAAATAAATGAAAGTGGATTCCCAGCCTCCTCTTAAAAAATCAGATCCGGCAAGATGGAGCTCTGTTTCCTCCATGTGACGCCGGTGGCACTGAGACCATGCCGTCCCCCTACATCCTGACCTGCCCAGGACCTTGTTCATGGTTCACTGTCCCGGCCCCTCAGGGATGAGGGTGCAAATCTCCCCTCCCTCCCTATCCTCCCTCCCTTTCAAAACCTGCTCCCTCTGAAGGCCTAGTTCAAATTCCGCCTGCTCCAAGAACACTGCCCGGATGTCTCCAGCCCCAGGGAGGTCTTCTGACTCCTGCACTGCTTGTCATCTGCACCTCTCTTGCCCAGTCAAATTCTCTTTTGCTCGCTGCTCTTCTCTACTTAAAAGCCACGTCCCCGGGGCGCCTGGGTGGCTCAGTTGGTTAAGCGACTGCCTTCGGCTCAGGTCATGATCCTGGAGTCCCGGGATCGAGTCCCGCATCGGGCTCCCTGCTCGTCAGGGAGTCTGCTTCTCCCTCTGACCCTCCTCCCTCTCATGCTCTCTGTCTCTCATTCTCTCTGTCTCAAATAAATAAATAAAATCTTAAAAAAAAAAAAAAAAGCCACGTCCCCCTCTTGCTTTGTAACAGCGGAGTCTGCTCCCAGCTGCTTGGGTTCAAATCCCAATGCCTCCAATTATGGGTAGGCGCTCAGACAGGCCACTTTATCTCCTCTGCCTGTGTCTCGGTGCATGACACGGCTGGTGGGAGGATTAAGCATGGCACATAGTAAATAGGGTCCTCCTGCCTACAGCTCCCCATCCTAGGAGCCATCCCTACCTCCCAAGAGGTGGCTCCCTGCCGCCTTCCACCAGCAGGACCCTGGCCCCCCAGCTCCAGGAGGAGAAGCAGGAGGGGTGCTCTCCCCTCTCTCCCTTCCACCAGCCCATGGGCAGGGGTCAGAGCCAGCTGACCCTCCTCCACTCCCGACCCCAGCCCACCCCAGTGGGTTTGCAAGCACGCTGCCTGGTTTGACCAGGTACCACCCCATAGATAGTCCCCAGGCTGGCTGGACAAGCCGTCCTGTGACTGATGGTGGACACAGCAGCCTGCGCCTGGCAGAGTTTCCCAGGATAATTAGGATAAGATGGTAAGAGCTGCTAAAGCCCGACAAGACGGGATATGTATGGGGCTCCAGGGTCCCTGCCATGCCCACGGGCCCCGGGCCCCTGAGCGAGCGAGCGAGCGAATAAAGCGTGCCGGGCTGAGGTGCCGCCTCCTCCTGGCTCCAGCCTAGGCCTCCAGCACGCCTGTGGGATTTGCGGGGGCTGTGGTCTGGGCAGTGTCACCATATGGATCCCATAAATTAAAGCATGCTGGAAACAAACGGTAAACGTAGCCGCCTCTTGCACGGAGGGCTGGCGGAGCCCCTGCTCACCCAGGGAATTCTGGGCCATCCATCTCTCTTAGGGCACTTTGGTTTTATGGCACTAATCCCTAAAACAACTGGATCAACATGAAGCTGCTTCCCGACGGCCCTGGAGCTCGTAGTCGGGAAGTGGGGGGTCGCTGGTCGCCGGGACTGGCCCCCAGATAGCTGTAGGCATCAAGGCCCTGGAATCTGTGCAGGGCCTGGCTCCCCGCCTCCCCCACCGGCAGGGCAGGGTCTCTGAGGTTGGAGGTGTGAGCCCAGGACCTGAAGCCCTATTGACTGGGAGGGCGTCAGCCGTGGAGTTGAGCAGCTCTGTGACCTCAGGCTCTGAGCCCCAGTTTCCCCTGATGTGGGAAGAGGATGGGGCAACCAGGGTAGTCCGAGTCATAGAGACAGGAAGAACGGTGGGTGTCAGAGGGTCTGGTATGGAGTTTCTGTTTGGGTGAGGACGTTCTGGAAATGGGTCGAGGTGATGGTTGCACATCGTGAATGTACTTAATACCACCAGGTAGTATACTTACAAAGGGGTCCAGATGGTAAATTGAATGTTAGGTATATTTTATCACAATAAAAGAAATACGGAACAAGGGGCCGGAGTTGGGAGGAACGGGGTGACCACCCGGCAGAGTGAACTGAAGATTAGCTAGGTTAATCATTATAATTATACTCAACTGGCAGGTAGTTATGCCAAGTTCCATGCAGAGCTGAGGGGGCTTGGGGAGTGATGAGGCCAGCAGGTGGAACCCCACTGCCCAGCGGCCAGCCTGGTGTCCTTGGGCAGGGGTCACCGGGCAATGAAGACACTCACCGTGGTTTTGCCGGGGACCAGCCCTGCGCTGCCCCAAACCAGCTCAGCCAAGTCCCTGACAGCAAAGCCGGGCCATCGTGGGGGACGAGTGGTGCCCAGCAGCTCGGGGGCCCACCCGTTGGGCAAGTATGGCCAAGACTCACCCTGTCCCCTCCTGTCCTTCCAGGTCACGTCTGCATCTCTCGAGGCAACGACAGCTGTCCATGCCCCCGCCAGGGAGCCTGAGCCTCGGCCAGGCGCCCCAGCAGAGAGCACACCCAGAGGCCCCAGGACGGCCCAGGAGCCGGGGCTCCCCCGGTTTCAGCAGAGCGGCGTGCCCGGAGCGGACCTCGCGGGCGCAGGCACAGGTAGACACGGGCGCTTTCCCGTCTCCGGGTGCTGGCGTGGCTCGTGCGTCCCCAGCAGGGAGGGTGGCTCCCAGCACTGAGTTCAGGCGCAGACCTCCACCCCACCGTCTCCACGTTCTCGGGGAGAGCCTGGAGGCCGGGTCTCTCCCTTCCTTGAGTTTGGATCTTTTTCTTTCACACTCCTCAGGGATTAAAGCAGAATCCCTGCTTCCCGACGCCCTCTCATCCCCAATTCACAGCCTCTGTGTGCTGTATTTGTTCTCTGTAATTCCACTGTATTCACTCGTTCATTTTAAAACGAATGTAACGGATCTGCAGAACCCGCTGCCTGAGCGCTGAGACAGGCCCTCCACGGGGCGGTGCCCGCGTCCACCCCCCCGGGAACCACCCCGCACACCTGTGTTTGCCCAAACCGCGATTATCTACTTCTCCTGGGGGTCTGAGCCGCGTCTCGGCGCCCCGGGTCCGTCTGTGTGGTCGCCGCCCTGTGCTGTCCTGACTCCCTGCGCGATGCCGTGGACGTCCCCTCTCTGCCCGTGGTGCGGGGACCGTTCCTGGTCCTCTCCGTCAGGCATGCGCCGGGGCCTGGCACACAGCTCTCGCGGGGGCTAGCCTCAGCTGGGCCAGAGGGAACCAGGGCATGTGGCTGGGGAAGATGCCGCCCACCGGAACGCAGTGGGTGCATTTTGCTGCCACCGCACCAGCTCCGGAGACCCTGTCCGCCCATCTTGGCACTTCCCCGATGACAGAGAGGCTGTCCCTCCCTGGGTGACAGGCCTGTGAGCGTGGAGTCCTGGGGCCTTCACTGCGGGGCCTGTGGGTGGATCTCAGGCAGGCCATTTGGCTGGATGTCGGTGTGCGTGGGCACCTGTGTTCTTATTTGGGGAGGGTTCTAGAGCAGCCCTGAGGGGACTGAGTCCCGGGACCCATGCCAGCCTCTGGTGTGAGCCCATGTTGAAAGCGCTGCTTGTTAGTGGACGCATCTTGGGAGGAGCCAGGCTGGCCGATGTGGGGAGGGGGTGTGGCGTTGGGGGCAGCTGGCCTGGCCCGCCCTCTGGTCCTGGGCTGCCATCTGGGGCATCTGTCTCCAGGACACCCCCGGTACCCACCTCTTTCTCTCTGTGAAGAGCTCTCGGCAAGGACACATCCAGCTGACCAGGGGCCCTCGGAGGGATTCCCAGACCCTGGCAGATGGGCATGCAGGTGGGGGGGATGCTGGTTGGGGAGCCATCACCCCCCGGCCCCCACCACACTCGGAGCCCCGGACAAGTGTCTTCTTCCACTCCATGCCTCTTCCTCCTCATCTGGGAAATGGGAACAAAGGCTAACGGGAGGGCCTGGCTTACAGGGCAGGCGTGGGAGTCAGGTTAGCTTGGACGGAAGAGGGTCCAGGGCGGGGCTGGCCCCGACTGCTTGCAGGTAGCCATTGTGACTGGAGTCCCGGGCACCTGGCCACACCTCTTCCAGGCAGTGCGGAGCGTCCTCGGGGATACTCTCCCACCTCCTCCATCCCAACCACACCTCAGCTCTCGGTACTGTCCTGCAAAACCTGACCCTGGGGGAGCCTCGCCTCCCCACCCCCCACAGGCACACACAAGGCCCAGCCCTCCTCCCCCAGCCCTGGGGCTGCCCCGGGGCAGGGCAGGGGCCCAAGGCCCACGTCTCCCAGCTGCTCCCGTCAGGCTGCAGCCCTGCCCGGCGGGGGGCGGGCAGCTTCACGGCCAGAGAACTGCCAGGAGCACCGTCCTGGAGTCAGGCTCCTCCCCGGGAGGCTGCTGATGCTGCTCAGAAACGTGACAGTGACTGATGGCTTATTACACACCTGCCACCTCTCATCGGGCGGGCAGGCCCAGCCCCCGGGCCAGCTGTGCCCTACCAGCTGGGCGGCGGGCAGGCGCCGGGGGCGAGCACATCCAGACACATGGGCGCGGGAGCTGGGACGCGCGGGAGCAGACACAGAGCCAGCAAATGCCCCGCACGCAGGGGCCCATACATACAGATCCGTGTGCACACACACGCCCTGGGACTCGTGTACACATACATGTGAACGCACACCACAGGCACACACATCCAGGACCGTATCCACACACGCACACACCCGGTCCTGTCACTTCCTCTCTCCAGAGCTCTGGACCCCTGTCTCCCCGCTGTCTCTCCCCACCCCCCTCACTGCAGCAGGGGCCTCTCCCAGAAGGCCCGGGGGGCTGTGAGCATCTGTTGTCTCCCGGGGTAACTACCCAGCGCGGTCCATTTCTGGCCCTCCACTCCCTGCAAACATCCTGTACGTAGCAACACAGCATTGGCAGAGGGAAGAAGCTGTCACAGTGGGAACCTTTGTGCCAGGCCAGGTGGCTGGGCGGGGTGCCCCCGGGGACACGGGGGGCCCCCCTGCTTTGTTCTCTCCCAGAGGTGGATGTTGCATGGTTCAGAGCGCCCACCTAGGATGTGGCCACGTGCTGGTCGTAGGGAGTATCGCTCTGGGGCTGCAGGGAAATGGGACTCCAGGCAAGCCACACGCCTTGGACTGACTGGAAGTCTCCGGCGGTGGGAGAAGGGCACAACCGAAACCCGGCCATGGGACAGCCTCTTCGCGTACAGTGGCAAGCCCCCGGGCTCAGCTCTGTCCCGATATTCTTAAGCCTTTAATCAAAGCAAGGTCCCTTTCTCATGCGGCTCACTCACACGTGGTATAAAATCCAGCGAGAGGACACTCCCAACTCATCACAAATGGATGGGAACAGGCATTCCTGAACAGTGACCTTTGTGCAGCCGCAGCCTCCTTGGGAGAGAAGCCGCACCATCCTGTGATAAGCGAGGGTGCGGCTTGGTGTCCAAGACCCAGGTCCAAGTTTCCAAGTCAGCGCTGCACTTCCCAGACATGGAGGCTTTGCAAGGTTCAGAATCTCCCAGAAGCTTAGCTGCTCCAACGGCGAGTAGGTGTGGTAAAAATGGTCTTCCCGTAGCATCATGTCAGTGGGATGAACATCAAGGAGGTACTCAGGGTTGCTGTGCACACTGCACAACTCCAGGGTGTGCCATTCGCCTTGTGGTCTCTGTGAATGTGCTTCTTGTGTGGTCATCAGGGCTGCCATATTGCACAGCTAAGTGGTAGCCCCATGGTTATGCCCCATGGGCCCTAGATGTCCTTTCTGAGCTGTGGAAGTAGCAAATAATGTCTCTACTAAGAGAGCTAGTGGAGGGGCGCCTGGGTGAAGTCGATGAAGCAGTCGGCGAAGCGCCTGCCTTCGGCTCAGGTCATGGTCCCAGGGTCCTGGGATCGAGCCCCGCATCGGGCTCCCTGCTCAGCGGGGAGCCTGCTTCTGCCTCTGCCTGCCACTCCCCCTGCTTGTGCTCTCTCTCTCTGTGTCAAATAAATAAAATTTAATAAAGAAAGAAAGAAAGAAATGAGATAGAGAGAGGTAGCGGTAGTCACAGACCCCCTAATGAGGCTGCAGTGGGTATCACAGGAGACCAGGCCAAAATCATCTCTGCAGTCACAGCTGAGTTCCCGGGGCTCCTCCCTTTCTCACCTGCCATGTTGGGGAGCTGGGGTCGGCCACCCCTGTTGGGTGCTCCCCAGAGCTGCTCTCCTCCCACCCAGAAAGCCTCCACTCTCGTTACTCTGGGCTTTGGGGGACCACAGTTCGTGGGGCCGCGGAGAGGAGGAACCAGGCTAACAGGGTGGGAGGAGGCGGCGCCGCCCAGAAGAAGGCCCCCTTCACCTGCTCTTGTCCGCCCCCCGTGGCAGTGGCTTATCTTGGAAGAGGTCTGTCCTCTCTAGTTCCTGCTGCTGTGGTAACAGATGGCCACCAAGTTGGTGGCTTAAAACAACCCACGTTTACTGACTTACAGTTCTGATGGCCGGGGGTCCAACATGGTCTCACTGGGCTAAACGCACAGGGCTGGGCAGGGCTGCGTTCCGAACCTCTGGAGGCTCCGGGGGACAATCCGTGTCCTAGCCTTTCCCGGCTTCTGGAGGCTGCTCATATTTCCCCAGCCTGTGGCCCCAGCTCCGGCTGCGGAGCCCGCGACGCCGTGGGTCTGCCCTGCTTCTCCATCCCCACCTCTGCCTCCTCCTTCCACTGGTAAGGACTTTGTGATGGCCTGAGTCCACCCGGACCATCCGGGATGCCCTCCATGCCCGGGTCAACTGATAGCTCCCGTCCTTCCCCTTTGCCGTGGGAGGGATGGCGTGGACAGGTTGACAGCCTCCAGGAAATAGGACGGGGACATCTTTCAGGGCCCTTGGTCTGCCGACCCCCAAGTCACTTCTAAAATCAGTGGTGGTAGTCAGGGCAAGCCCTGACAGGTGCTGTGATAGATAACCCTGAGCCCATCGTGGTTCCTGTTGGGTAACACAGGGTCCCAAGTGTCCCCTTAGCCTCTGGCTCTGCCATCTCTTGGCTTCCAGAGTGCCCTGATTCCATCACCAGCAGACACGGGAAGAGAACACAGGAGAGCCACTGGATACCCACCTACCTTGGCCTTGGCCCCACCAACGTCCCTTCCATTGGCCTGAGCCAGTTCCCGCCCAACCCAGATGCAGGGCGGGGGTGGAGGGCAGCCCAGTGTAGGAGGGGCCGGCCACTGCGGAGGGTTGGCTGGCCACCTGTGCCCCAGCCCCCCGCTCCAGCGGCCAGTTCATCAGGGCTCCGTGAGCTCCGAGAGCTGGGTCCGAGCCTGAGGTGCCCCACCTGCACACCCTCCCCTGGTCCCCGTGTACTTTAGGGGAAGGGCTGGGAGCTCTCATGCCCTGGCAGATGCAGGAGTGTGAAGCCCAGCCCCTTGGCTTCCAGCTAAGGATGGAGCTTACCCTCTGGGGCTCCTGTGGGGCTGGGGCCTCACCTGGAATTGGCTCTTCCTCCTCCGCTCCCCGCCCCTGTCCTCTCCCCAGGTCTCCCCGGGGGCTCTGCCTTAGAAAGCACTGTACACACATCCGTGTCTCCTCGTCGGCTCCCGAGAAAGCACCTGAGACAGCACGTTTCCCGGGGCCATCCTGC